CATGGCAGCTCATGGCCGCTGCACCTCCAGTCCTAGAGGATCTGATGCCCTTTTCAGGCCCCAAGGACTTTTGCATGCACATGGTACATAGACACTCACACAACTTGACACACTACATACACATTTTTAAAAAATCTTTATAAATTATAGTGCTTTTCTATTTTATGATCCACCCTCTAATTATTTAACATGTCTCTAATGCTCAAAAATTAGAATTTTAGATTCAGAAATAAGCACTATAGCATATCCTATGTGAGCAACTCTGCCAGTGGCATGAGGGAACTTATGGCCTGAGGTTTTTTTAGTCCAGGTCTTTACATGAAGGAGTACTAAACAAAAAGTTCCATAACTGAATGAATGAAAACTCAATCATTAATTTTTAAAGTCACTCTTGAATTTAAAATCTTGTTAATTTGTACTTTTGACTCCATCTATAATAATAAGACTATTGTCTCAGGATTAATGTGTCAGTTTCTATATTCAGGAATATTTAAAAATCTAAGTGTTACCTAAGGCAATTACCTAGAAGACCCCTAATATCTTTAGGGAAAAGCCGAAGGGAGAATAATTGACTTTACTAATTTTGCCCTTGGCAATTATAAAACAGCTCTGAATTTCATCTGGCTGCAGAAACCTTCAGCTCACAGTCTACCCCTGGAGAGGCACAGAGAAACATAACATATAACTTGTATACAAACCACTAGCAGAAGAAAACAGAAAACCAATAGAATGAATAAGCCATAAAATATTAAAACTGCTGCACCATGCCAACTATAGTCATCAAGTTAAATATATACGCTCAAAAAATTAAAAATAAAAAGCAGGCTATCTCTGTGGAAAACAGTGACATATTACAGACAGAAATTCTGTATTATGTTCTGCCTGATCCATCATTACTGTGGTGTCTATTTAATTTACCTTTGCTTACAATTTTTTCTTATCAAAGGAAATTAAAACATTAAGTAGAACCTATGTAGAGTGTAATCACTTTTAGAGTAAGTCTTGTGTAATAAAACAGGCCCTCTGCTATAAAATCCTCACATTACCTTAAACACATTCTGAGGAAAACAGAACCAAGCCTATAACTAACAGGGCTGGTTCTGAAGTGCGGGGGGGGGGGGGGGGGGGGGGCGGCTTTGTCAACAAGAACTGACTGCTGACTCCACCCACCTCCACCTCGCTTCCCTTTACTGTTTCTGCAGTTCAGAAGATTGTTCACACAGTTTGATCTCATCTATTATCAAATGACAGCTATGAAATGTCTAGGTTTGGGGATCAATCACAGACCTCTGGATATAGTACTCTAGGTTTTTCACAGAAAATGAGCTACTGGAGCATCTTTTGGAACTGAGCCTGTAGAACCTTCAGCGACTTTGAACAACAAGGAGGAAGATCTATGTTTGGAATGGAAAGGAGGAATGCACAAAATGAAGCCTTAAGTTTATAACCATTTAACTCAGAAACAAGCATGTTGTTGCCTAAAAAGAAATTTTCTGTTGGAGGAGCTAGATGCAATGCAAATGTAAAAAGCAATGTGGGCAATAGGGCTTTGGGAGCAATAGGGCTCCCAAAGGGAAGGGGTTCTGGTCACTCTTATTTCTTAGGCCATTGCTGTTGGACATGCTAAGGTTTCTTTTTCCTTTTTCCTGGTTATCTCTTTGTGAATCAAGCAGCGCTGCTGAAATGTGGTGCCTAATGCAGCAGATGGTGGAGGTCTTAGGTTCTGGAACATGTATAGTGATGCCTTTGAATGCTAAACACCAAGAGCAGATTTCACAAGCTGTGAATCTGATTTGATTTTGATGGGAATAAAACCTCCATTTTCACTGAATTTGAACCACAAAGAAAGAAAGAATTTGTGCCTGATGCAAGCTAGTTAAGGAAATAGAATGCTTGAAATATAATTCCCACAAAGGGAAGTAGTTTAAACAATTATTTGTTTGCATCATTATGGCATGACTGTGCTTTCACGTAAAACCACCACTACATTTGGTAGGATAGAACCAAGTAGATGGGATAACACTCAATAGTGTGCCTGACTGTCGTGAATGAAACCCTGGGTTTATCTAGTATTGCAGGATGCTGCAACGTAAATTCAATCTGATAATGAAAGAAAAACAAAGAGAAATTTGTCTGAAAGTAATGAGCCTTTGTTTCTTTTCCAAGGTAAGATCAAGTTGAGGCTAATTCCCAAAGCACAGAATAGTACAATTAAGTATCGAATCTAGAGTATTTCCTCCCCTCAGATATTTGGGTCTCATCTAGAGTAGCCACTGTTAATGCCTACAGATTATCATGTGCAGACCAATGCACCCAAAAATTCTACCAAACTTTAACCAAAGGAGGCTTCCCTTTCTCATAGACCACATCAAGGGTGGCAAGGCAAGACAGACCATAAGGTCAGCAGTGATGCCAGTGATAAGGATCCCAATGACTATACTAAGACTATAAGACCGAACCAAGTGCATGGTACAGACAGCAGAGAAAGGAGTCCAGGGTCAAGCAAGCAAGCAGGTTAGCTCAACATGAAGGGGGTATGAGGCTCTTAATTTGTTTCATGCAGGTAATTAATTTTCCTCACGTAGGAGAAAGCAGATATTCAGCATTATCATACTACTTTCTCCTATAAAAGCAGTGGCTTTAGCTCATGAAATATGTGGTACCTTAAAGTGCAACACCATTATGGATACTATTTTCTGCATCTTTAGAATTCTGGCTGGATATCCGCCAAACAAGTCACATTCTTAGCCTCCTACCCTGAGAGGGTGAGCAGGGTACTAAATTCTGGCCAATGAGATATATGCAGAAGGATCTTCTAAGTCCTCTTCAAAATGTCTTAAAGTACAGACATTGCATTATTTGCTATCCATACTATCGCACAAGAAGTATTAGAATAGCCGAATTGTTAGACTTTTTGAAACAAGTACTTAGTAACAACTGACTTTTTCAAAATGGTAGACTCAATTAATGGAAACTGTTTTTAAAAACCAGTTTCAAAAGAAATAAAAATAACATTCCTCTACATTAAAATAAGAACTTTAAAAATATTGATTATATGAATACTAAAATATAACAAGTATAAGAGAATGGAGAGATGGCTTAGCAGTTAAGGCTGTTCTTCCAAGGGACCTGAGTTCAATTCCCAGCACTTACATGGTGACTCAAAACCATCTGTAACACCAGGTTTCAGGAGATTTGACATCCTCTTCCGGCTTCCACAGCAAGCTGCACACACATGGTGCACATAAATAAACTATGTGGGCCACTCCTCACCATCCCCCAAATGAAGGAGATTATGTCTGTCTGTCTGTCTATCTACCTACCTACTACCTACCTATCTATCTATCTATCTATCTATCTATCTACCTACTATCTATCTATCTATCTATCTATCTATCTATCTATCTACCTACTATCTATCTATCTATCTATCTATCTACCTACCTACCTACTACCTACCTATCTATCTACTGATTGTTTTTTGAGGCAGGCTCTGGCTAGACTGGAATCTGCTATATAGACCAACCTGTTCTCAAAATCACAGAAATCTGCCTGCATCTGCCTCCCAAGTGCTGAGATTAAAGGTGTCTGTCACTACACCTGACTTACAATAATTATTCTTGATGCATATTCACATACTTTGTTTCTTAGCCATGCCTAATATTGTATTGCTGATACTTTTGTTTTGCCAGTATATATGTCTGTTCACCAACAGTGACCACAGATGCCTGAAAAAGGCATTGAATCCCTTGGAACTGAAGTTAGAGACAGTTGTGAGCTGCCACATAGGAGCTGGGTATTGAACCTGGGTCCTCAGGAAGAGCAGCCAGTGCTCTTAATTACTGAGTCATCTCTCCAGGCCTCTATTTCCCTAAAGAATATAGTTTTTAAGGCTAGGCATTGGTGGGATGGGACTGTAATCTCAGCACTTTAGGGGCTGAGGAAAGATCATTAACAAGTTCAAGCCCATGAGAGCACACAGGGGCCGTTCACTAGTGGCCAGAAAATTCCCTTCTGCCTCTACATACCCGGGAGTCTCAGTCAAGAGGATCATTACAAATCTGAGGTCACGCAGTGAAACTTTGACTCAAATAAGCAAAAATCAAATAAACAAAAAGATAATCTTTGTTATAGAGATTATCTATGATCTGAGGTAGTAGTGGACCAATTAATCTTTTGATGTATTTCTTATAGTTTTTTTTGTTGCTGTTCATTCATTCCTTTATATATGGGATTCTTTTTGTAACATAGGCAAGAACTTGCTTATTATGTATGTTATTTTTCAATACTATTTTTGCAAGCACATATTCTGATATATAGATACTTGCCTATGCTATTTAACATGTTCACAAAATTTTAATGCCATTTAACATGAATTTAGATATATCACTTAAATCCTTCATTATCTGACATTTCATCTGCTTACTTTTTACTATTTCAAATAAATCTACAATATTGTGATAGATACACCTGCACATCAAATATTCCTATTCCAGGTAAGTTTTTTTAAATGGCTCAAAGGCTTTAAGTTTTTAGTCTCCCTCCCCGGCCCCTTCTTTCTTCCTGCCAGGCAAGCCAGGCAAGTGCTCTACTATTGAGCTACATCCCAGCCTTGCTCTTTTATTTTGGGTTTTATTTTTGGCTTACTCTATAGCCCTGTATTGGTGACACTCCTCCTGCCTCATCCTCCTCAGTGCTTTTTTTCTATTTTATTTTTTTGGAGACAAGGTCTGGCCCTGATGCCCAGGCTGGCCTTGAAATCACCCTGCCTCTGCCTCAGGGTGCTGAGATGTGCCACAATGCCTGATCTTTCAAAAGCACTGCCTAGCATGAGTCTCCTTTACTTCATGTCGACCCTGCCAACATCACCCTCCTCAGTTTCGGTGAGCATCCACATAGGGAGAGCCGAGCAGCAGGACACACAGACCTCTGTGGCTTTAGGAGCCACTGGAGGTCACACAAGCACAGTGAGCCCTTCCATTTTTTTTTTTTTTTTTTACCTTTGTGTTCTGTAGAAGAGCTAGTCCATTGCAGGCATTTGCTAAGAGAAAGTCTCCACTCAGGATGGCTATTTTGTTTCCAAACTGCATGTCTTTCAGTGGTCCATCAGAAGACTGTAGTTCACTTAAATTTACTATCCCACGATGCACCAGAAGAGCGGTGTGGATAAGTTCTGTGATCTCTGCCAAACTTCTTTGACTAAAACATAAGAAAAGGTTTGTCTAAATGTCAAGAATGAAATGTATTACTTTATGACCAATGCCAGGATTTAGTTCTCAAAAGTAAAACCATGCATATGTGATTTGAGGGGGGGTTTCTAATAAAGCTTTTAGAAGTCTCTCTATTGATTGGCTAGTCTGGGACTTCTCTGTCATCTTCCTTACTCTACTATAAGTCATTGGTCTCAGAGAAATGATGGCCAGGAGCGTTACCCTCCCTAGTTTCATTGAGATACCTTGCTCTCAATGAGCATTTCTTCTTCACCTAACTTGAAGATTTCTAGGAGTCATCAGTTACAGCACCAAGTTAAATGTGGATATGATCTGTATAAGGCATGGGCTAAATGCTTTCCATACATTATCTCTTTCAGTCCTAAATATAAAGCTAGGGGATTTTCAGAAACATGGTTTCTTTCTCCAAGAACCATGTCTTCCAGACTAAGAAGGATGCATATGGCTTTAGCAGAAAATAAAGACAGAAAGGCCGGAGGAGCTCATGGTTCAGGCCTGTACTCCATGAGATGTCAGGGATGCCTGTTTCCTTTGATATATTTTTCTACAGTTTGCATACTTTGTATGGGAATACAAGTATTACTTTTCATAATCAAACAAAAACTTCCAAGTATATTGATCCTGCAGAATGAAATCTGATGGAATAAAATACATGTGACAAGTAGAACAAACAAAACAACACCACGATGGGAGGATGGTGGGTCATGCTTATAGAACCCTCACTCAGGAGGTTAAGCATAGAGGACCGCCATGAGCGACACAGTGAATTCCAGCCCAGCCCGGGTTACAGTGTGAGATCACATCTTAAAACACCACAAAAGCAGAGATTTCCTCCCACACACATTAAAACAAAGACAAACAGTCACTGAAAATTTAAGCCTCCTCTCACCCTTGTGATAGGTATTATTAATCCTCTATTACATGGGAGAAAACTGCTGCACACAAATGAAATGAGTTCTCAGGGGCACAGTAATGTGGAGCGGGGACTCTGCTGGAATCTACGTACTCTAGATGACTCCGTGTGAATAGAATGAGGTTTCCAGGCTCCTATTTCATGCCTCCACATTAACACTGGGCTTGGTTGTGCTACTTGCCTGACCAACAGAACATCAATAAAGAAGTTGGAAGCAAAGCTTAAGGAAGGCTCACAAAACAACCAAGTGTGGGCTGATTTAGGCAGTCACAAGAGTCGCATGACCCATGGCAGAAGAGCCTTTCTGTCAATTCAAACAGGTAAAATATAAAATGGTGGTGTCAAGTCACCAAAATTTAGAATGGTTTGCTATGAAATAACAGGTATTTGTTAAGAAAAGTAAATACTTAGGAATAGCGTTGCTATAATAAAAGGCTAAACTGAGTCTGAACAATGTAGGGGCTGAAAATGGTTCCCTTTTAGCATAAGCTAAAAAGACAGCAAGCAAACTTACTGGAAAAATTCTCCTGCAGTAACTGGAAAGACAGACATCTTTTACTAGCTAAAATAAATTACATTTAATAAACTTAGCTAGATAAAAAGATTTAGGCAGATGCTGGAAGTATCAGCTAGCTGTAAAATACACAGTGTATATGGATACACATACAATACAAGAGAGAGGCAAACTAGAGAGAGTTGTTCAATTTGCAAGCATTTTAGAGCACAATAAAAGAGCTTAGAACTTGCTAGGTTGAAAATAAAAAAAAAAAAAAATCCCTGAACAAACTGAAAATGTGGCCTGACAAGACTGCTCAGTAAGGCTTGAGTCTGATCCCCAGAATCTATGTGAAAGTAAAAGGAAAGAACACACTCCCTAAAAGTTGTCTGCTGACCTCTACACACCTGCTGTGGTTTGCATATGATGATGATGATGATGATGATGATAATCATAATAACAGGCATGAGCTGGGTGTGGTAGCATACACTTATAACTCCAGAATTTGGGAGGTGTAGGCAGGAGATCATTAGTTCAAGATCGTCCTCAGCTATACAGTGAATTTGAGATTAGTGGGGGTTACATGAGACTCTGTCTTAACCTTATGTGTGTTGTTAGGCCCAAGGGCCTCTTCCATCCTTGTCAAGGGGAGTGCTAACCTTCTCTCCTTTCATATAACACGAGACTCTGGCTTAAAACAAAAGCCTGAACACTGCTTTTGTTCAAGACAGACAGGGTTCTCCTAGTGCTGAGAAGGGAGAGTGGACATGAGGTCCCTCCCCAACCAAGAAGCTATTTTCAGCTGGTACCTGCTGGGAAGGCTAAATTATTATGAATTTTTGTTGTTATTATTAGGAGATGGTACAAGCCACATCATGGGTGTGGAGGTCATAGTAGGACAACTTTTAGGGAGCATATTCTCTCCTCTTACCTTCACGTGGATTCTGGGGGTCAGATTCAAAGTATCTGCCAGCCTCTCTCAGCAGGTGAGCAATGGAGCATCGCTACATGTATCAGCCACACACCAGGGCCGGCCCCACACACACAGTGTGACCAACAAAAAACAGACTCCATATATTTTTTTCCTACTCATTTTCCTTTTGTAGTTTGTTTTGATTTTTCATTTTTTGTTGTTTTTCTTTTTCTTTTTTAAAAGAGTGACAGAGAATGTAAACTTATATGGGGAAGAATATGATCAAAATATATTGTATGAAAAAATTTTAAATAAAATTAAAAGACAAACAGTAGACCACTACAGAGCTCTGTATGATGATCCTCGCAGAAAAGGGAGGCAGCTCGGAGAGCAGAGCAAATGTTACAGAGAATGCACAGCCAGGAAGCTACCTTTAGGTACTAGGACCGGGTCCTAACCAAAATGTATTTCCTGCTTATAGTCTAGGTAGTTCTGGCAACATGAGGCAGCTGGATTCCAGAATCGCAGGACCAATGAGACTGCTCTCTCTTGAGAGATGAGATCCTCCAGACTCCTGGCCCCAAGCATGCCTTTTCCTGCACAGCCATCTTGCTACCCCCTCAAAAAATATTTTTAAGAAGTGGAGCCTGAGTAAGGGCAGAACATTTTATGTTTATCTTTTTGAACTCCTGTGTTTCTCAACTAATATTATTCTCTTGGAGGATTCCACATTATTTACTAGCAGAGGGAATCCTGGCTCATTTAACATACCCGGAGAAAACCTCCCCCCACCCCGCCCCCATGTATGATGATGACATACACTTCTGTTGCTTTTTGTTTAAAGTTTCTTTTGACTCTTTTGTATGTATGAAAGCGCATGTGCACTTGGGCCACGGTATGTGTAGAGGTCAAAGTACAACTTCTTGGGAGTTGGTTCTTTTCCACCTAGCTTGCTTTGGTTTGCCTGTTTGAGGCCGGGTCTCCTTCGGGGTTTCTGTTGTCCTGCTTTCTTCCTGCTGGTTGGTCCTTGAGCTTTCCAGCCAGTTCTCCTGTCTCTCCCTCCCTTTCACTGGGATTACAGGTGTGTGCCACCACACTGGCTTTTTCACTCGGATTCCAGGGATTGAATTCAGGCCATCGGGCTTGCACAGTTTAAATATTTAAAAACCAGCTTTAGGCAGGTGTGGTGGCATACACCTTGACTCCAGCAGCAGCAGGAGGATCTCTGAGCTTGAGGCCAGTCTGGTTTACACATTCAGCTCCAGGCCAGTCAAGGCTACCTGGTGAGACTCTGTCTCAACAACGATGGTAGGTAATAATAATCAGCTCTATCGCGATTTTTCCAAAATTAACTCCTTCTGTACTTAAAGGTCTTTAAAGACAGCTCAGCCATTCCCCATACCCTTTCTTTTCTACATTTTCATTATCTACTTCTATTCACTACCTAGAAAGTTTTTGTTAAATGAGCAATTGGTTACTTAGCAACAGCTTTAGAAAGGCTGCAGGACTGCTATCACTGATTTCAAAAGAGGAAGCAGTGATATGTACTAAAGTCAGGCTTATAGAGCCGCAGTGCTAAGTCCTCAGGGGTCAATTAACCGCCAATTAGCTCCTCCCAGGTACGATAATAACTATGTCATGGGCACACAGCTGCTGCTGAACAAGTTTGAGTTCGTTTCTTCTCTAGAGAAACTTGAAATCTCTATATGCTCTAGACTTAGGTCCATGTTAAAATACTAGAACAGCTAATTCATTTCATCACATGGTGTGGCGGGGGGTTAAAGACAATGGAGCTCTTATTTCTAACTCCTGCTTTCTTCTTTATCCTTCTGCTCCTCCTTCCATTCCTTTGTTCCCAGAGTTTTTAAAAACATGGAATGGTACAGTCAATATTTACCACTTAACCTAGACATTCACATGTTGTCATTTCTAGTTTCTAAAGATGCATTTAAGAAACAGCGTTCTTATTTCAGGAACTTTCAAACACACAAATGGAGAACACACCATCACACGCCTCTACGGACTCATCACCACCAGCTTTCAGGTTGTTAACACTAGGCCACTCTTGTCACAGCTTTCGTTCGCTTTCCAGATTACTTTGAAGGAAATGCCACACTGTGTCATTTCATCTGAAAAGATCTCAACTGTCCTATTTAAAAAATGGCTAGTGGTGATTATGGCTGCACTCATTAATTACTTTGAGCCAAGTATTACTATATGCTGAGCACCATGTGTAAAGTAAGTTTTGCAAGAATAACTCATCTGATTAGTAAATAAACGGTTATTTCAAACAACAGCTCTTGGAGGTGCCCCTCCTGTACAGAAGGGAGCTCAGCTGACAGGCTCAGTCCACACAGCTGCTAAACTGCAGCTGGATTGAAGCCCAGGGCTCTGGGGTTCTAAAGCCAAGGCTCTTTGCATATCAATAGCAAACTCATCAAAACCCAAAACACAACATGTTCAAGATTTAGGGTCTTTCTGAAAGTAAAATGGTAAGCAAGAATCATTTATTTACAGTCATTTTACTTGAATCCTAAAACATTTTTTTTATGTTAGAAAAGAGATTTTATAATCATGTAGGAAGAATAAATTAAAAAATTAGAAAGATTTCAGAAAAAAATAAGATTAGATTTAGATTTTAATACT